AACAGCCAGCCGGACCTCGCGGTTGAGGTCCGGCGAGGAACGCTGCGACGCGAAACTCGCGGTTGATGTCCGCTGGCGAACACGTGCTGCCAGCCGAACCTGCCAAGCGGACTTGCGGTTGAGGTCAGGCGGGGGGCGCTGGCTGCCATCCGGAGCTGACAGTTGAGGTCCGCACTTGCGGCTGAGGTCCGGCGGTGAGGAGGAGGACGCAAAGGCGGAGGCAGACGCGGAAGGCAGGAAGGCAGCTGACTGAATATTCCTCAGACCTAAAGGATCGATAGGCCATGCTTTCACCGTTTGTATTCGCACTGAAAATCAAAACCAAGCAAACTTTTCCCCTTTTCGTCCTGAGATTTCTGTTCTCGTTGAGCTTACCCTACAATACCTGAGAAGGGAGGGGACGACAGCCAGCCTCCGTAAGAATCTGTCAGGCATGCACTGGAACTGCTGTCAGGCATGGGGAAATGGAAGGCAGAGGCGGAAAGTCTCGCGTTGAGGGCCGATATACAAGGTTTCGATCAATAAGGCCCATTAGCGGTTATAGGATGTTATAGGATAGAAGTGGCACTCACGGGTTAGGAAAAAGTTGAGCGACAGTGACAGTCGGGGGAGAAAGGTTGAATTTTGAGCAGGACATTCACAGGTGGGGGGGAATTGCGCTTGCCTGCTGTTTGTTTCTCTGATCTTGCAGACAGACTTAGAAACTCGGCGCGCTGCTAAGAGTGGACCGATGAAAGTTTACTGCCAAGATCAAGTGATTGCCCAACATCGGGCAAAAACTACTGTGTGATGGGGCGAAGTCGACTACTGCTGTTTTCTACTGCTAGTAGAAATAGAAAGCAGAATACATGCGTCGGGGGGGGCGCCCCTTCTCGTTTGGTCCAAAGGCGTTTTCAAGCTCAAAAAGGGCACCACCAACTAATCGAGGGGGGCTTGCCTGCTGTTTGTTTCTCCTCTTTTCCCGTCACGTTGTCCTCTTCCCTCTTCACGTTCTCTCTTGCGTTCCCATTCACCCTTATTACCCACGAGAAAACAGAGCGCTGAGAGACGCACTTGTCACTTTCCTGGTGAGCTCCCGACCTCTTTTCCCGCCACGTCGCCTCTTTCCTGTCCTCCACATGAACTCCTGCCCCGTATGAGGTGCCCTTTTACATCTAGCCGACTGCATTCTGCTCCCTCTCCTGTCTTGAACAGGTGACATCGCTTCTCGCGTCCCTTCCACTCTCATAGCGACAAGAAAGCAGAGCGACAAGAAAACAGAGCGCTCCTGTCACGCTGTCGCCCCTTTCCTGTCCTCGACATGAACTCTCACCCCTTGTAGCCTCCTGAGCCCTTCATGATGCTAATGATGCACTCTTCGGCGTCAATTACATCGCTTGCATCACAACACCAAAAAAACATACATGTTCACTGCTTTTCGGACAACCCCTCCCCCACACACCCTATACTCACTTCGTTCGCCCTTCGACAACTCCAGCCTAGCCTATCGGCTGGCTTTCGTGAATATCTAACAACCCTCACCTGACAGGTGGGGAGAAATGACTGTGTTGTAAAAAACGTAAGAACTAGAAACCCTATGAAAGCCTAATATCATCGCATGCGAGCTCTGATGAACTGCATCAACCACCCCTTGTTTTTTGCCTGCGCCAGGACTGGGATTTTCTGGATCACCCCCGTGGCGACGTCGACGTCGACCGCCTTTGCGCTCTTATGAGCAACCAAAGGATAATAAGGTCCTTTTTTGTCTTGATCTGTCTTTTTTAGCCCGCCCTTACTTAATATAATGTAATTAAGTAGGCGCCTACTTCATTAAGTAATCACCAAGGTTGCAAGTATTGGTTGGTGCAAAAATGAGCACTGGCATCCCACCTCTCTCCGCTGTTCGGTCTGCGCCATTGGTCGGTTCCCTATGACACAGGGAAGCTCAGAAGCATAAATTGCGACATAATGCCAAATGATGCCACACGCATTGCAATGCATGTGCAGCGGGTTGGCTGGGGGCTTCTGGAATCATGATGAAAATGATAGAGTTTCTTGGCATTGATTGCATTGAAAACCGCCTTCTGATTGGTGTTTGTAACAAAGTTCATGGAAACTTTGAGCATTCTGGTAATTAGAGACTTTATGTGAAGTTGTGTTTATTAGCACACGCCACGCTGCCAAAGACGTTGATTGTCCCCGTTTGACATACAGTGGCTTGACCAACACTATTGCTTCATGATGCGATGGCCAGTCATCGCCATCTTATCGCGAAGCATGTCCCTAAACATGATGTCTTGAACTACAGTGAACTACTACAGTAGAAGACGAACAAAAAAGTATATATATAATGGCCAGTATTGGCATATTGCAAAAGATCTACAATCTACAAACAAGGTGGAGAGTAGCCACAGCAACTCTAGGTTCACTTGCAGCATCTCCGCAACAATATCTTAGAGGCGGTTCAGAATTGAATCATGCACAGCTAAATCCATCCCTCGTGTCAGTTACGGTAAGGTAGCTGGTTGACGGGGAAATGGAAGGGGCTCAAGTTTGGTACGAGCAACCGGGACGTTAACGGCACATTCGCGGAACTTTCGCGGATCTTTTGCCAAGGTTCACTGGTGGTTTCCCTGACTATGCATACTGCAACAAACATCTGCACCACCTGGAGCTGAGGATCGTTGCCCCACTGTCAGGGCTGCACATGGACGAGAATCCTTTACAAACTCTACGCAGTGTCACAGCTGCGTAAGGAAAAGTCGAGGTTCAGTTTGTTGCTTTGTGACAGTGGGGACACTTCCCCCCACCTGCTCTGCTGGAGGGTTACCTTGTATTACTATATGTATCCCATAGAAAGGAAATATGTAATATTATAGATCCTTCGCGAAAAAAGAATGCCTTTGCGATCTTTCGCGGACCTCGTCACGGATCTTTCACGGATATTTTGGGCAGCATCTAAAATTTAAAACTCCTAGTAGCGCCCTTGCTCCTAGTAGTAAGGCCAGGTGCCCCTAGTAGCTTCTTGTTACTACTAGTAAGGCACTTGTTACTAGTAGCGATGCACTTGTTCCTAGTAGCGTCCTTGCTCCTAGTAGTAAGGCCAGGTGCCCCTAGTAGCTTCTTGTTACTACTAGTAAAGCACTTGTTACTAGTAGCGATGCACTTGTTCCTAGTAGCGTCCTTGCTCCTAGTAGTAAGGCCAGGTGCCCCTAATCCTAGTAGCGATGCCAGGAGCCCCTAGTAGCCTCCTTTCTCCTAGTCGCGATGCCCTTTGCTCCCAGTAGCGTCCTCTAAAAACTTGTGTTGGGATAAATACCTTACAGGCCCCTTTAGATTAACTCCCATATTGACCCGCTGATATAGTTACTGTGCTTCAACAGGAAGTTTGGTTGCTGTGTGGTGCTTGGCAAAGGGCCGAAAGTCTTGATGCGATGTGAGATCCTAAGCCTTCTAAGCCCTCCTTTCTGCTCAAAAAGCTAGTTGGAAGCGGGACAACTTTTTCTGTTCTCAGTTCTCAGTGGCCTAAGCACTCTGCATCCTTCTACCACGTGTTGGGCTAAGTAAGTCCCATCATCTTGGTCCAAGCCAGGTCAGGTCTACTGCATGGAAAAACACAAGCTGTTTAAGTCACATCAAATGGATGCAGTTCCCACTGAAGCACTATCAAACTACGCGACTGAGTGCGCAAAAAGGCGACCAAACAAGGCCACCGAGACTCCTGTTAAGAGTGAATTTTGTGAACTTGCCAAGAGACTGCAATCTCCAGCCTAGGGCCCACCTCACACCATCCCACACCCTCACACAGCCATTGCAATGAATGCGCTTTGAGCCCTCAGTTGTGGTGCCCATAGAAACTGCACCCCCGAAACATCTGCGATGCACCCACACGGGACGACTATTCGCGTCTCACCTTTGCAAGTCCTCGTACCTCGGAACTTTCTCATCGCCTTTTTTGACCGATGACCGATGACCTGCTTATTGGCGCTTAAGGCCTATTGGAAGTGAGCCAAATCGTAAACAAAATGGGAACAAGCACAGCAAACGCCCACCAAGAACACCCCACAGATGGGAGCAGTGTGGAGTATGTGTGTTGTACACATTGCAAGATGCTTAAAAAAGAACGACTTAAGCCAACAGAAATACGACTTATAGACACCTCATGCACCCAGTACAAGTCCGGGTACAGCGCTGCAAGCATAATTGACTTTTAACCTACCTCAGCCTCAGCCCGCCTTTGGCCATTAGCAAATATGTGAAAGCATCATAAATGCATGAGGTGGGTTTAGCCACCACCGAGTCCAAGTCTGGAGGCCCTCCCCTATGTATTGACTTTGACTGTGGCACTTCATGGCATAGGATCGTATTCTCATCTGATCCATCCCGAAATTGAGATCCTGATCCCACCTTGATGGCTCCTTTGTCCCTGCTTCGGGACCTTGACGCTGCAAAAGCTAGGTAAAGACTGAAAGAGGCTCAAAGCATTCTGTACGCAAAGTTGGTGATCGATTGGCTCAAGATGCTGATAGCAGCATGCCATTCTGCAAGGCTCTTGCCATCTGCATTATTATGTTTGCGTCGGCGTCGATGGCGCTCCTTCACCATTGCAAAGTGTCATTTTAACGAACAGTTGCAACACAATGCAGTTGATGAAAAGCTACAGTACTTGCTCTGCCCTTCTGTCCAGCCTTTTCGTGCCCATCGTTGCTCATGTTGCTCTTCCTCCGTTTTTTGGACCTCAAGCAGGTCCCAAACAATGTTGCGTTCATTCGAATTGCGAGTGAGAACCACCCAGTTGAACTTTTGTTCTATGGTCGGCTGATGATTGCGTTGTTGATCAAGCTTGCTTGTAGCTAGGTGCCCTAAATGTATCCCTATGTCTATGTCCATTTATTTCAAGGAGTAAGAACGCTGTCAAGACCAGGATCCCAGCTTTTTGGACTTCTCCTTGACCTGGAAGCGATTGGGCTCCAAGCACTTGTGGACCAGTCATCTCTTGCCTTCACCTTCACTCACCTTTTGTCACCGCGTCTGTTCCGGAGGTGCTGCATTGCACCACAAAGAACACACAGCGCGCAACTTGCTTGGCAAGCACAACGCTGATCTGCATCTTCAGATCTGAAGGGTACGACTCGGTACGACCAAGTTGCAAAGCCATGCAAAGCCACAGCTCATTTTTGGAACTCGGTTTTGCTCGTCCTCAAGGGGCAACTCAAATCTCCACAGAGTCTGCGCCTTCACGTAAAATACATGTTGCTGAATCAAATCATACAATTTAGCGTGATAACCACAGCCTGCGCTGCCAGAAACGCAACCTGAAGGGCCATCGAAAGGAAGGTCGCCTTGGCATCAACGAGAGAAGTTCGACTTACCATGTATGTAGCCATGCAAGAGCGCTATTTGGACAGAGGCTTCTTCATAAACACAGCTGACAAGGCAAGGCCTACGGCAACGAGTCCCAATTTTGAGCTGGCTACTGTGAGCGACTGGAACTGTCAGCTGTTGAGGTATCCACCTCAAGTGTCACAAGTGACATACCCGTTTAATAAAATACCCTTTCAATACGAACGCACGTGCCCCAATGTGCGCTTTGCTGTTTACAAGCCTAGTGCATCATAGTCAGGCACCTTCATACAAAATGAATCAAAATGAAAGTTCCTTCTGCAAAAGCGTCTTGCCAAGAGCCGATGCTTAACACAAATGCATTGTACAAGTACTTTCATTGTACGGAAACAAATCGGTTTACGTCAGCAAGCTGAATGTGCAGTGAAGAATTACAGTAGGAACAGCAAACACCAAAGGAATGCAAACACCGAAGGAATGCAAGCACGCCAAACACGTGGGATTTGACATTTGAGGAAGCGAAGTGAATTCGGAAAGCAATGGAAAGGAATGGAAAGCATATCATGTAAATCAGGCGGACTGTTGATGCAGCCAACTTTCATGCCAGGCAACCAGTGAAGGTACTGGGAAAAGCCCTGGTGCCAAATACTCACCAAGATCATAAACCAATACCTGTGCACAAGAGATGATGCAGTAGATTTGATAGCATGGCCTCTAGCAAAGCAAATCTCGCCTGGTAGTCATCATCCCCCAAATTTGGCAACGATGACACCAAGCCAGCTGAAAGAGCTTCCCGCAGCAGTGGCAAAGCCTTAGACATTGTCAACAAAAAACAGAACTTAACAAAATAAATAAATCCTCAAGGAATTGCGAAGAAAGAATTCTCGGAACAGCAAACAGCGCAGCCACAATAACCAAGAAGCTGACACAGCACCTCCTAGAATACTATCAGGCGTGATGGAGAAGTCAACCGCCGGTTCTGTGAGGAAGGTCAGTGCGACAAGCCCCACATAGGGATATCCCTCCAAGGTCAATGGCCAAAGGCACGGCATTGAAAATCATTGAAATGCATTCTTATTGCTTAAAGCCCGTGGACCTGCCTCCTTACTTCATTAAGTATTAAGTATATAGGCGCCTACGTAATTGAGTAAGGGACAAACTTGTTCGTTCCTAGCTACTTGGACGCTACTATATATGGACGCAGGATAGCCCACACTTCTTAAAGAAGCGCGAGCACTCATGATTTGGTTCCTACAATAGATTTGGGGGAAACTTAAATTCAGGTGTTGACCGGCCTGTGGTGCTGCCTCCATTGCCACGGCTATGGGCACAGGGCCAAATACAAGATCCTAGGTCTGACCGAGGTTCAATGTTTTAGGGCCCATAAGCATCTTTAGCAAGCATTTCTGGAAACTGAGACCTAAATCTTGGCTTCAGACTCTCAACCGCACTCGAAGCTGCGGAAAGAGGTTCATACGAACGGAGGATCGAGCACTTGCCTTGACGATCACCTCGTCACAAGAGAACGTGTCTTTAGTTTTAAATCACAAATAAAACTCCGACAGGAGCACTTCATAGCAGCCATGACACAGCACTACTCACTACTCGCCACTAGATCTTCAAAGTAATGCCGAAAGGGCAAATGCCAGCTCAGGTGTTGCCTCAAAGAAGCGGTCGGCTACCCAGAGGAAGTCAGCCTGGCACAATGCAAAGCTGCATTTGTAAAGTCAGCTGCTGGGTCCAAAAAGTGCTATTTCCAAAGAGATTGTCTGGATGAGTTGAAAAATCAGAATGCTCAAATCGTCCTCAACCCAAGCTTTGTCTTATGACGTCCATACTTTAACTATCTTCCAGTTTCCCACTGAAGAGCCTCCAACATCACAACTTGCCTGAGCGTGGGCTCCAATCATTCATGAAACCAAGAAACACAAATGATGCAACACAAATGCCCTATTATGTTGCATGTCCAAGCCCTACTAGTAACTAGTACGAGCCCCAGCTTATGGCACCCTCCCCTGAAATTGCAAAATTGTACAGTGCGTACATTTACAGATTTACACTTACACAACCAAACTCAACCAAAGTTTAAAAAAAAAAAAACGAGCACACAAACCAACTCTCCCACGCCTCACACGTCAAAGATATTCAAATATTGTGTAAATGTGTAAGTATGATTCAACATGTTTGAGATTCATGGGAAGGAAGGAATTATCTTCAAGCTTTTGGTCGCAATCTCCCTCTTTGGGTATCTTTTGGTCAAGACTCGGCTCCAAACTCCCTCCAGGTCGACGATCACGAGCTTCTTGCAAGGCTTTGGAAAGTGCTCGCGCAGCTGTTTCGCGAGGCATTCGTACCGCGTCAAACACTGGTGGGTTTAGTCCAAAAGTAACCTCAGTTCGATCTCTCAACTGCAGCTCTACCTTTCATGTGAAATTGTTAAGCGGTCTCGTCTTGCAGGTCAACTCTCGGTTGCTTGGGCTTCTGAGGGCTAGGTTTGAGGGTAGAGAAACTGTGGTTTCTCAGCAAACCAAATATCATGCTCAGGAAATTGAGCCACACAATGCATGTATTATATATAACTATATATTCTATCTATATATACATAATACTTACTGTATACATATCTTATACTTATACCCCATGCCACGTGACAAAAGCTGCCACCAGTAGCAACAATAACAGCAACAAAAAGAACAAAAACAAGGAATGCCACATAATTACACTCCACGCCCTGGTGTTTGTGCTCCATGAAATCGTAAAAGACCTTGCGGTTCTGATGTGAGCTATCGTCAAAGTCACGTGCCTACACCATACGATTTTGTAGACCATCGTTTCACAGAACTACAGTGCATTGTCAGAGTATTGGTTTGTGTGTGAGTCCCCGATATCCCAGTTGTGCTGGATCGGAAAAGTGCAAGAAAATGAATAACGTTACATCTTAAAGTCTTGAATTGTCCACATTGAGCTTAGGGGGTTCGGCATGCACTTGGCAGTTTCGTTGGCCGCTTCTGTCCAAATGTTCAGTGAAAATAGCTTAGCTGTTGATACCCTCCAAAGAGATATTGTATATGTACATTACATTACCATTATATACATTACCATTACCATTTCATCTTTTTGGGTTACACTGTTACACCGTTACACCTCTAAAGACAATGTGTATCTAGATCGATCCAAATCGGTTGAGGCACGTTTTCAAACGCTATGCTCAGCGCATCCTGCTCTGTAGCCGTGAGCGTGAAGGTGGCCAGGGTCGCCAGTTCTTCACCAAGTCCAGAGATTGTCTTTTGTAATGGAGTCCAAACAGCCGAAAGTACCATGTTCAGCCACCGAACGCTTTCCTCGCCGCTGCTCCCACTGTAAGAGACTCCTAGGCCCTGCTCAACGATCCTGGCTCTGCGTTGCTGCTCCTGATCTACACTGAGCACAACCGTCAGAACAATGGCGAGACCAGCACAATGAAGCCACATGCCAGGACGGCATTGGCGGCATCGAAAACGCTTCAAACGTTTCATTTGTTTGCAAACCTTGGCACCCCTGGAGGATGCTACGGACGCTTCGTCTGACACCTGTCGGCTAGTTTCGCCATTCTCTGGTATCAGCGATTCCAAGTGGAGATGGTCTGCATAGGACCTAGCAGAATCTGTGGTTCTCAAGATCAAAAAGGCCTATCTACAAAACAAAGCTGCTTCTCAAGCAAAGGCACGCTATTGGACCAGGTGTTCCGACACCAGGGCGTCGGCTAGCTCGTCCAAGCATCCATGCCACAGACAATGCCAAAGTCAGGGGAGGTGCTAAAGCCACCGTCCGCTCGCTTGGGCTTCCAAAAGCATCGCGCAACAAGCGCCGTGCCACTTGCTCAACCACTCGTCGCTGCCTAGCAACAGGGTGAAGAAAGCACCGCAAATCAGCAAATCACAAGAATTGTTGTGAATGTGTGTGTGTGTGTAAACCCTTTAAGCACCATGCCCTAGATAGCTTTTCTAGACAAACAAATCATGCTTGCACCTTCAGCACCCTTGCACACCATAGTTCGTGGTTGAATAGTCTATACAGTAGATTGGACATGATTGGACAATATGCAGTGTTATTCTTACTTGCAATACTTAAAGCGATATGATTGCAAAAGTAGCTTCACATGTTCACGCTCATGCCGTAAAATATACCAAAATAATGATGCTCTCCTGTTGGTTCCTCTGTCTGTTAATCCATTAATTATCAACTTGTTGCGTGAGAATCTTGCTGGGACTGGTGGGACTGCGGATTCTTCATATTCCTCGCCGCCTAGGTCTCGTGACCAGGTAGCTGCTGGCAGACGGCTGGTTGGGCCTCAAAATTTGACAAGAATTAACAAAAAGAAACAAAAACTTGCTGTCAAAACACTAAGATTATGGCGTTGCTTCCGCAGTCGCTGAGTTTGGCAGTGGCTTCCGGCTTTGGCCCCGCAATGCCATACCAAGGCTTCTGGTCGGCTCGCTAAGAACCTAAGCTGAAAAAAAGAAGCAGTTGGATGGACATAAGTCTCGTCTCGAAAGTACAAATTAGGTTGGAGGCCATCGCCATTAGGTTGGGGACATCGCTATTAGGTTGGAGGACATGGCTATTGGAAACAAAGTACAAAGAAAAGGAAGAAAGGTCTAATTCCCAATCTTCTCAGAGGTCTCAGCTCTCGAAAGCAGTACATATTCCATCTAATCCTGCTCCCTTGCTCAGCCTTTGCTCGGCCCTTGCTCACATATGTTTTGGTCACTTGGGCCATTAGCATTGTTTATCCTTCGTCAAGTTCGCGTCAATGCACTGCCCTCTATATACAGGTATCTGCAGAAAATCAAAAAACACGTTCAACTTGCTGCAGGAACCTTCACACTGTCTTCGGCCACCTTGGCTGCCTGAATTCAGCGCGAATTGCAAAAAGAAAACATTCTATTTGTCAGCAATCAATTAAGCGGGTTTCCACACGAGCGTGATTGCTCATCTGTCAACTCACAAAAGTAAGCGATACGGCAAAGCGTGTCCACAAACGATCATGCACAGGCACACACAATGGTTCAGTGATCACGTGAATTACGCTAGGTTATGCTGGTTGCGCTGAGCACTCAGTGCTCCGAGCCTTTCTTCGGAAAATGTTCAGGCTTGTAGCCGGTGTAATCGGCGGGGCGGAGTGCAATCGGTGCTCCGCAAAACTGTGGACACTGATAGAACTCGAGAAGAACCAATGAATTGAAAACGTTACGTTGTTGTTTGATTTTGTCTTGCTGTGTAGGGTTGCATAATATGAAATCTCTTTAGGCGTATCCCAAGGAAAATTTTGCGGTGCCTCGGATGTGATGCCCTCAACAGTGCCACCAAGACCAATCGTTGCATTTCCTGCACCAGTAAGCACAGCCCCTGCAATTCTGTATACTCCAGCCTTGGGGCTCAAGCACAAGAGAACTACTACTAGTAGCAAGAAGCTACTAGCTATTTGCTACTAGTAAGAGAACTGGCACAAGACACTCACTGAAAACAGACTTGCTGGCAAGTTGCAAACACTCGGGACGGTGCGGCCAGCGGCCCACTCTTTACCACTTGCGTCTCCCCAAACCTGATTTGCAGCAAATTGGGCAGTGTCACAAACATAAGTCCGCGCAAACGGCTTGGATGGCTTCCCAATTGAGAGCTGCTTTGATGGCTGCAATAGCTAAGCCATCTGCCTAATCGTCTTGCTGAAAAATGCAAATTCTGTTGCGAACATGCGCTTTGGGGTTGCGCGCGGTGAAGGGTGCTAACTTGCACCATCATTGAACCCCAAAGCCGAAATCATCATCATCGACCTTCCAAAGGGGGTTGACAGGACCTACTGTAGATCCTTATTTCGCTTTTGCGTCCTGTCAACCTCTCTTGGTTTGGCTTCCCTTACAGTCGGTCCTGCTCCCTCGCAGGCTGGCGCTGGCCGGGCGCAGCTGCTGACACAAGGTTGGAGGGAGGGCCCCAGATCTAGATACCTTGAATTTATATAAGATCCAAATACCTTGAAATTAACTTATTAATATATATATATATACAATATATAATAACATTCTTGACCAAGTTGAGAGATGTTTTAAAATCACCCCAAACAGGAAAAACAAGTTGCGGGAGAAGATGGGCAGTTTTTTTGCACGCACAGTTGCACGCACCACAAGTCAGTCTCGTGTTATTCTGCTAACAAATGAAACGAAAACAGCCGAAGCCAGCTAGAGACAGCTAGAGCCGCCGCATACCAAGCAACCCAGCACACCCGAAACCGGAGACAGCTCGAGACATCGCCCAAACACATCGCGCCCAAAACAGGAGGCGCCGCCAAAACGAGACCCAAGCAGCCAACACAAAAAAGAGAGCCGAAGACACCGCAAAAAAAGGACCGGATAACCCCACATATTAAGCTTGTAAGAACTATCAACGAGAAGCAGAAAGTGATAAGAAAAGAAGACGGAAAGATACTGGACGATAAAAGTGAATGAGATGAGTGGCGTGTGATGAGTGGTGTGTGAAGAGTGGTGGGTGATGAATGGTATAAGACGAGTGGTGTGTGATGAGTGGTGTGTGAGGAGTGGTGTAAGATGAGTGGTGTGTGATGAGTGGTGTAAAGTGAGTGGTGCGAGATGAGTGGTGTGTGATGAGTGGTGTGTGATGAGTGGTGTGAGATGAGTGGTGTGTGTGATGAGTGGTGTGAGATGAGTGGTGTGAGATGAGTGGCGTGTGATGAGTGGTGTAAGATGAGTGGTGTGTGAGGTGTGTGATGAGTGGTGTAAGATGAGTGGTGTAAAGTGAGTGGTGTGTGATGAGTGGTGTAAGATGAGTGGTGTGTGATGAGTGGTGTGTGATGAGTGGTGTAAGATGAGTGGTGTGTGATGAGTGGTGTGCGATGAGTGGTGTGTGATGAGTGGTGTGAGATGACTGGTGTGAGATGACTGGTGTGTGATGAGTGGTCTGTGATGACTGGTGTGAGACGAGTGGTGTGTGAGGTGTGTGATGAGTGGTGTAAGATGAGTGGTGTAAAGTGAGTGGTGTGTGTAAAGTGAGTGGTGTGTGATGAGTGGTGTGAGATGAGTGGTATGTGATGAGTGGTGTGTGATGAGTGGTGTGCCCACACGTCCACCCCGTCCTCCTGCAGCCTGCCGCGAAATCTGCACTTCAGGGTGTAGTGCGCCTGACTCCAGGTTCACCAAGTGCTGCGCCTGCGGCGAAATCTGCACTCCAGGTTCATCAAGTACCGTGTGCCTGCCACGAAATCTACACGACAAGCAGCCGCGGGCCAGCGGCGACCACGCGTCCACCCAGTCCTCCTGCAGGCTCTGTGTACTGCGCCTGCCACGAAATCTGCACTCCAGGTTCACCAAGCGCTGTCCCTGCCACGAAAACTACTAGTACATGACAGGCAGCCGCGGGCCAGCGGCCACGAAAACTGCACTCCAAGTGCTGTGCCTCCTGCGAAGTCTGCGCTCCAGGTTCACGAAAAGCTACACGACAGGCAGCCGCGGGCCAGCGGCGACCACACGTACACTCAGTCCTCCTGCAGGCTCTGTGTACTGCGCCTGCCACGAAAACTGCACTCCAGGTTCACCAAGCGCTGTGCCTGCAGCGAAATCTGCTGCGCCTGCCACGAAATCTACACAGCAGGCGGTGTGAGATAGGTGGTGTGGGTTGAGTGGTGTAAGAGGAGTGGTGTAAGATGGGTGGTGTGAGATAGGTGGTGTAAGATGGGTGGTGTGAGATAGGTGGTGTAAGATAGGTGGTGTGAGTTGAGTGGTGTAAGATGAGTGGTGTAAGATGGGTGGTGTGAGTAGGTGGTGTAAGATGGGTGGTGTGAGATAGGTGGTGTAAGATAGGTGGTGTAAGATAGGTGGTGTGAGTTGAGTGGTGTAAGATGAGTGGTGTAAGATGGGTGGTGTGAGAGAGGTGGTGTAAGATGAGTGGTGTAAGATGAGAGGCGGCGGCGGAGGCGGAGGCGGAGCGGCGGGTGTAGAGCGAAAAACAAGAACCCCACATAGTGATGTGGGGAAAACATATTTTTTCATGCTTTTTCAGCGTTTCCGAAGTCTCTGTCCGCAAGAGCTATGGGGCGACGTGAGCTTATCATCACAGAGGTACAGTCTGTCAGCAGACATTGATGCCATCCAACCATGTTTGCCGATAGCGTTTCTTCATGTCATGACAGACTCCAGTCAACAACGAACGAAGCCTCTCTCACCGAAAAAGCTCTGATCAAGAAGACTGCCTCTCTCAGCAAAAGAAGGCTCCAGTTCTCACTGGGCCAGCACAAGCTGGCTCAGATGTCCCCGTGGTCACGGGGCCAAGCCTCTAGGCCTCCAGCAGCTGCACGCTCAGCAGCGTCCAGTGCAACTCTTTGGCAAGTCCCAAAATGTGCCAAATTTATGATAGTTGCAGAGCAGTGAATGAGAACACTGCTCTGGACCATCATCAAATTGGGTTGAACAACGCAGTACATACAAGGTGCGGGAAGCAAAACAGGCAACCCCGCACACCGGAAGACAGCCGGAGACGGCACACAACCGGAGACGAGGAGAGGAAACCTACGACCAGAAAAGCACCCTTTCAAAGGAGCAAGAACCCACTCACAGGTCAACCTCCGTGGTTGGGTAAAATTGAAACCACTTGAACTTTGATCAAGCGGCGTTTGCACAGCCTGTCCCAAGCCGCGCGTCAAACCTCCAGTAAGACGGAGGGTCGCTCCCAGAGTGGCAGCAGTGGTGTCTCCCACACCCCGAACCTTAGCCATAGCGAACCTAGCAAAATTGTCTTGTCAGGCCACCGCGTACATAGCAACCACCAAAGCATGGTCCAGTATGGTCACTGAATGTGATTTACTGAGTTACATGATTGAATCGAGCAGCGAGCACCGCTGTCTCATCTACAGTGCCAGTAATTGCATCAAGCGTTGCTGCCATGGCCCTGCGTGCCTGAAACACACTCCCTTCAGAAAGGCCTGAATAAAGTTACTGTAAGCCAAGCTCTTGAGAAGCGTTGCAAAAGCGTTTAACCCAGCTCGCCTTGACACGGCCATGGGTATAGTTGTCATATGGACTTTGCTGCGTCCAGTTGCCGAGCCTGACCTCGTTGCCAAGTGCCTCGAACTGCTCTGCATGCCTCAGCCAATCAAGATCTCTCAGCATCTTTTTTCTGCGGTATTGCTACAGCACATGTCCTCAAGTCCCACAGCTGGCTTTGTCACGAGTTTCTAGGAAATGCTAATAGTAGGTGTAGGTTGCATGTAAACCATTGATTTTTTCAACATTGGTGCTCCAAATGTGTTTTTCCATACGTGTTTGCTTCTTGAGGAAAGGTTTGACCCGCTACTTTCATCGCAAGGGAGACCAACCACCATTCATACACCAATCCAAAAGAGACGACAAATCTACCGTTGCAACGAAGAGACGACCGCGCCGCGAACGTGAAACCATCCAAACACTTGAAAAAGTCAGGCGCGCACACTGAACGATTTTTTAAATGATATTCAGGATGACTATAACGACGCAGTGAAACTTAGAACATGGAAAAATGTTGTACAGTAACAAAAATATCACACTATATATTTAATTTAGAACATAGTAGAAACCACTATTTTAGAACATCACATAAACTTAGAACATCAAGCCAAATTTGTTCCCTGTTCTAAGCACATTTCCTCCCAAGGCCTCACGCAATAATCATGACTTGGAACGTCTGCTGGACGCTAGGAAACCAATTCCTATTGATTCCTGGGTTCGGTTTAAATATCTGATTCCTATCGATTTCCTTTTAAATTCCTGTTGGTTCCTATTGATTCCTTTTGGGTTTCTCTTGATTGATTACTATTGATGTTCTTCCAAGTTCCTTTTGATTCCTATTGATTTCCTTCTTAAAATAATTACACCAGCATAGACCCAGATAGCTAGGCAGAACCCCACGACCCGCTGACATGCGACTGGCTGGAACAAGAATGTACGCAGCCTGCACAGCCGGCTTACGGCACCTCCACAGCGCGCGCAATCAGCTGACACCAGCACCGGTGCGCTTTGCCAGCTGACAACACCGGCAGCGGCGCCAGCACCCGACCAGCGCCGCCGCCCGTCCGCGCGCTCAGCCAGCTCACAGCACCAGCACCCAGGACCACAGCGCCAGCACCAGCACCGACACCCTTTCGAAAGCGCGCGCAGCCAGCTCATTCTTATTTGCAGCAAGAAGCCCCATAGCTAGCCCTATTTGGGGAATAACAACGATCCTGCACGTATAAGTTTGTGCGCACAAAAGTGCGCGCGCAGACAGCAAAACCCACAAGTGTCATTGGCGCAAGGCCAAGCAGTATCCAGCGCCACTATTGTGTGTGTAGCATGCTGAAACATGCTGAAACAATGGTCGGTTGAGAGCCTGAGCTTGGTCGCCCTTCACTGCTGCAAGCGGCGGTTTGTTACCCTTCACTGTCAGAACCGGCGCTTTTTATAACTTCACTGTCAGAAGCGGGCACCAGCACCAAGCACCGGCACGCCAGCTCACGGCGAGCACCAGCACCCAGCGCCGGTGTACCCGGCACCCAGCGCCAGGACCCGGCACCCAGCACCCGCACCCAGCACCGGCGCCCAGTCTCCACCGCGCGCAGTCCGGCGCCCGGCGCCCGCTGTCTCTAACCGGCACCATGTCTCCACCACCAGCACCAGCCCGCACCAGCACCAGCACCGGCACCCAGCAGTGGCATCCTGTTTCCACCACACGCACAGCCAGCACCAGCACCCGGCACCAGCACCCAGCAGCGGCACCGGCACCCCGTCTCCACCACGCGCGCAGCCAGCTCAAAGCGCCAGCACCGGCACCGGCACCAGAATTCCTTTGGATTTGTCTTGATTCGTATGGATGTAGACTTCCATTTTGATTTCCTTGTAAATTCCAAGTGATGAATTGCTAGCTGAATATAATATGTATATATATATATACACCCCTTGTACACGCACATGCTGCTTCCGAGCGAACCTTGCGGTCTTTGGGTTCTTAACGAAGACATACAAAGAGGAACACTCTAACATCGAATCGGAGGGAAAAATGAGATCCCTCCGAGTCAAGGAAAGAAACTCATTAGGGTGAAGCATGCCTCCGAACCCAAGTGCAACAATGCCAGCAAAGGACCACCAATGCCACAACAATGACAATGTCAACATGGCCTTCAAGACCGGAGCCGACAACACTGCCCGACACCTGCCGGGCTCTTCAAGCTGCCACTTTCTGTCAACTTGCCACGCGCCGCTCAAGAAAGTGCAGGACTCAGGTCTCAACTGTTGGACAGACGTTGTAGCATGCACAAGCCAGTAACGTGGCGCACCCTGCCTGAAGAGATGAAGTCCGTATCCTTTCAAGGCCATGTTGGCAGTCTCTGCCGTGGCAAGAACTTGCTCTAGCGTCAACCTGGCTTCGCTTGCGCACCACTGTCCAAGAGCATCTAAACACTTTTCCATCCGACTGTAAGTTGCAGGAGCGAACCCGCCAAGCATGTTCAACTCACCTCTGGGCTTAGGCGTCCTTGGAGGACCTGGATTACGTTCGATGTCACCTGCCAACAACAGCAGGAGTCTGAACCAGCAGCCTAAGGGTCGAACCCAGGTCGACGACTCAACCATCACATCAAACAAGGCGTGGTCACCAGAAATCAAGTCATTTAACCAACGGGGGATTGGCCTGGATGGTCCAGGCACATCACCTCCTCTTGAAGGCCGTCTGCTCGATTCCAGCTTGATCTACAATGCAAGGTTCCGGGGTACAGCCCACTACCCAGAACATAACAAAGTGATCCTCTCAAAATCCGACTCAATGCTTTGCTGCTGGACCTTCCCTTTGCAGCCGCGCCCGTTGTCACACGACTGTCCAACAAAGCTAAAAGTCGACTGTCAACGTGTGCTTTGGAACAATGTTTCAACCAACTTTTGAAGGTGCGACATTCCAAACAGTTGATATGGCCAGACTTGGAAAATCTGTATCTGAACAACCCTTTGAAATGAAGAGACTCACAAACATCTTCAATCCACTCCGGGTCATCAAACCAAACTCTCAAGTCCGGTCGCTCTTCGTCCAGCTCAGCCTCGGATACGAGGCCTCCCATCCCAGCACCTCCCGAGCAGGTCGTCACAACACGGTCGCGATGAGCTTTGCGACTTCCTGCAGCCATGATGCGACAAAGAGGGATTGGGTAGCTAGCAGAGTAGGCACTAACGGCTTCACCTGGCGTAGGGCGTCTACCATAGACAGAAATAGCATCGGGTCGACACCGCTTGTCAAAGACCTCAATTGAAGAATAAGTGAAAGTCCCCTGAATGGTGAAATGATTGCCTGCAAAACCACACTTGCATTTGCCTGCTGAAGGGCTATACCAGGGTTTGTTATGTAGCCACTGACTAGCCTTTTGGAAGGCTGTTCCAAAGCTGCAAAAACAAAACCTCGAGATAGTCCACCCAAGTTCAATAAGCCTTTGGAAACATTGCAATCTAAACATCACTGAAGAACCAGGTTGCTCACAAGATATGAAGCATCCACTCAGCAATGCTAAGGAAAGGAGAAAAGCAGTACGCACCGCGAGTAAAGTCTTCGCGTGACCGGATCTTTCGGGCTTGAATCCTGCAGGAAGTTCCTTTGACCTCAATCTAGGTCGCCGAAGGGTCCCGAAGGACCAGCAAGGAGGGGCAGCATGCCACTCTCTAACAGAACCCGAAAAAGCCAACTTTGCTAAAACTCTGAAAGCGCTGTCATCAAACAAGTCTCCAAAACCCTTCCCGACTGCTGTTTTCTCAATGCCCGGGTGCACCCGAAGCCCTGCAGCCTTGTGGCTAGCGCTCCAATTCCCTTGCCCAGCAAACAATTCAACGCAGTCAAAAGCAACTGTACTGTCTCGCACCTGTTTTGAAAACTTCAAGGGTAAGTGCTGTTTAGGTCGTTCGAACTGATCCTCCGGTTCACCAAACTGCTCAACATGCTCAAGCCCCAGTTCCCGAAGAACCAATCCTGGTCCTTCCCCTCTGCTCAGCACGCCTCCAAAACTCATCCACTGCATGCGGAGGGAACTTTGTCCGGCAGACGCCCGCCCCAGTTGGTGAAGCGTCCACCATGAAGAGGTACGGTGCGGCAGAAGTTCTCATGTTTGCTTGAATTGCGGGAGCAATTAAAACCAAAGCTGTCAGTTCATTCTTGCTAGCCCTAGACTATTTGAACACCACGTCCTCGTGTAGCCCTGAGCCTTCGTGGTAAAGTGCATCATCAATCGAAAATAATGGGCGTCTAAACAAAAGGATGTGTGTGGCCAGCAGCCTAATAGTCCTTGAAGAATCTTCCTTGTTGCTTGTCCCTTCTGAGCCAAAACTATTGCGACGAAGCTCAAAAGGGCTATCCGCGCCCGTGGAGCACTGACGCGGCCACGGAGTCCGTCAACTTCAGCTCCCAACACCACCGCATTGGTCTGTCGAAGAAGGCGCTTGCCCGGATGAGCTGTCAACCCTAGGCCTCGAAAACTTCAATGTTTGTAGAAAAGCACGGGTGAGTTGGGTTGTCAGCTCTAACTTTCTGCAAACCAATGTGGTCATCGATGGTCAGGATGGTCAGGAGCTCAAAAAAGGGACCTCTGGGAATAGCAGCTCTGTACTGCAAACACTCGCCCTCCAGCATACACGAAGCCCGGGATCTAAGCAGGTTTATATGGCTCTGTTGCGCAATCTCTACAGCAAGGGCATCACCCTTTGCCATGGTCCCCAAACAAATATACAATGCACCTTGATGTCGGTTCTCATCAAAACACTGCAAATGCGAAACCTCTGAAGCATCGAAACGAACACCCACAGCATGGCGTTTGGCTCGTTTCTCTGATACAACAAAAGCATTCAATCAAACTCGCAAAGATCGTCCGACGAGATCAGCAGCTGCTCATTTGAGGCAAGGGGGATCATCGCGATGAGATATCCAGGGGCGATTGTCTTGGTGAACCTCGAATAATGATGTGACCTCGAATTCACCACCGTAGGGTTTAAGATCAACCGATCGTATTGCTCGTCCTTTGGAACAGCGAACACACCAACGGCCTCAACGGCAGGGACCGGTGCGCACTGTACCAAACGGCAAGCCCCTAGCGTGTCCCACTT